CCCGTTGTGGCCCTCTCGCAGGTCCCCTCTGGGGCCCGAACCCCCCCTCTTTTTCTCCCCGGCCCCTTTTCGGGCCGGGGTTTAGAAACCGTCCGAATCTGACGCGGGTGCCCCTTTTTCCCTTTTAAACTCCTCAGGTTTCCCCTATCTGGAGGGCCGGGAGGGCCCAGCACAATGGACTTTCCAAACCCCTACCAAACCCTTTTAAACCGCCTCCATGCCCCTCCATGTCACTCGCCCCTGTCCACCCCCCGGGGCCACCTGATCCCTCCCTTCCCACACCATAAAATTAAAACCCCGATCCCAGGGTCTTTTTCGTGAAACTCTCCCCCTCCGTAGCTGGGAAAAATAGCCCGTATCACCGTTTTCCAACTCCCCCTCAATAGCCTTTTACTGCTGCGGGCCCTTTCCCGTACCTCCTTTAAACCCTTTCAACTGTACTTTGATGGGGCCCGGGGGATTCATGGGATCACCCCCTTCTTCCCATTCCCAAGGAGGAGCCCCCCACCACTTAAATCCACATGCGAAACCCCGCCCTCCTCCTTGCACCCGTTCTTTTTTAGGCAATTGGGGGGGCTTTATGCGCAGGTCTCCGCCCCCCCCCCTTTCCGGCCCCGGAGCCCTGTTGATGGGCCAGGTTTAGTCAGGATCACCCCTTTTCCGATTCCTGGGGAGGGGAACTACCCCCTTCAAATCCACAGGGGACCACGCCCCCCCTCCTTGCCCCCCCTTCTTTCCCTTTTGGGATTGGGTGGGTCATGCGCAGGTTGCTCCGCCCCCGCCCGGCCCCCGGAGCCATCCTTTCCCCTTTCCACAGTCCCGCGAAAAAAGGTCAAAATTTTGCCCCACAGTTTGGCACGTACCCCTTGCCCCGCATAAAGCCTTTTCCATTCCCGGGGTTTTAAACTCTTCGGTTATACATAAAGATGGTTTAGGGGTGCCTAAGCGTCAATCTTGGGGATTAAAAAAACCCTCAGGAAAACCTGTGTAAGCACCTTTTACCCCCTTTTTCCAGGTTTGGGGGGGATGTTAAAAGTTTTATAAAAGTTCGAAAAAAAAATTTCGAATAATTTTACCTCTCACCTCAAAAAAGGGACGTTGCGGAGCTTAAACCCCCCGAATAATTTTCGTGAGACATCCAAAACATCTTGACCCCCACTTTCGGTGTTAAAGTAATTTCAGAAGTCTTTTGGGAAACGATCAACCAAAGGGCCCCGATACTTGAGGCAATTTAACAAACCTTTCCCGAAAATTCTATATACAAACCCTTCAGGCCAACCCCCTTTTTAAATCCCCGCTCTGATCCATTTTGTTTCTCGTATAATTTTTGGGGAATAAACAAAAAAACCGACTGACGAGGTTTTTAAAGCCCCACCCCCCAAAAAAAGTTCAATGCCCAAAAGGTATTCCCCCTCCTGCGAAATTGGGGCCCCCCCTGTCCTTACTGATTAACCGTTGGGGTCGAAAGGGGGGTGAAAAGCACGGGGTCCCCAATTTCCTCTTAGGCCGCCCCCTAAAAAAACCCCCCTTTCACGCTGAAGGACGAGGGGCGTTAAAACCCCCAAGGGGGGGTTGGAAAGGCCCAAAGGGGGGGTTTCAGCAATGGTTTAAAGGGAGCACCCCCAAAGCCCCGGTGGAAGGGGGGGGGTCACAAATTGTACCCCCCTGGAAAAGTTTGAAATATTGTTTAAACTACACTAGATACTGAACCTGCATTCTGCAGTGCACTGTACTGGATTAAGAAACAAAAGCAGAATTATAATTTTTATTGAAGAAAAGCTTTCCCTGCCAGGGGCTTTTTCAATCCATTACTGAGAAATGAAATAGGAGTGCATATAATGAACGGTGGACAAATTGCAACCTGCGAGCCGCATGAGGCTCCTGAAGCGGCTCCCGAGACAGTACTGGGTTTCAATGTTATTTTTCCTAAAATTTTTATATTAATAAGGAGAGGTTGGAGAGGTACAAAACTTGGTTGACTGGAAGCACTAAGACTATGTCTGGTGTCTGTCTAATAAGAGTGGATGATTCTTTCGGCTTTTCGCTTACAACAGTTAATGCAGTTTATTGAGTATTGAAGTTTAGAACAAGTCTGGTGTATGTAGTTACATTTCTCTCCGAATAAGGCAATGCTAGATTGTGCATTGTCTCAGGTAGAATTTTGTGATGATATCTCTCTTTGTCGTCACGTCATGTGTGTGACAAGAAGTGTAACAGGTTATCTGTGGACTTCCTGTAATGCTCCTGCAAAGAAGTACGTCAGACAAGGTTTATTTTATTAATGAGTTTATTGGTGTCAAGTAGCTAAGGCACGATAACTAGGATGTCGTCCATGTAACGCAGCCTCATCACCACACCAGTGGGGACGTACAGTTTATTTCTCCTCTCTTCCACGTCAAATGTGTGACTGTGATACAAGAATGAAGAGAGTGATTATTTAACTGTCTATTTTAACTTAGGCTTGGTGGGTCTCCGTTTTGTACTCATTTCAAAAGTTCTGTTGTCTTCTGTACTTTTGCATTTATTGATTTTATTGTATGTTAGAAGCAGCGCTGTATAGCCCTTGTGGCTTAGCGCTTCTTTTTGATTATAATAATAATGTATGTTAGAAGTATTTACATTTTGCTTATAGATGACATTCAAACTTAACCAAAATTAGTCTCACCCAAATGTCGTATATCAAGAAACTTGCTGAAAATCGTATATAAGAAATCAACGTTTGATTCAGAAGAACGGGTTCCTAACGAGGAAGCTAGAAGTAGAGAGGGAGGAGGTGGTAAGTTATGATGGGTCATGGGGTGCGACTCCACCTTGCCACGGGCAGGTGGCTAACAAAACATCATCACATCAAGTGTAGATAGCACTTGACTCACACTTAACATTACTAAGCCATCACTGAACGCTCACTTAGCATTACTGAGCTACTGTAGAGGGTTTTTGGAAGTGGCTTATTGCGCTACCTGCTGTTTGGAAAATTGCATTTATCTGGATGTAACTCATTATGTACATAACAGTAAATGATAACAAAGATAATTATTATTTATCAAAGTTACATAGACAAGTAGGAATTTGGGACACTTAGGTCGCAAAAATGTCCCCTTTCGATACCTACAATTGTCATATCCACAAGTTGCTCTAGACCTATTAATTACAAATGAAATATGTATCACCAGGAATTCTGGTAAATATATAAATTTGTGGACTGTATATTAAAATTAATAAATGATTATATATATACACATTTACATAACAGAAGGAGAATATGTCTTAATATCACTCACCAATTTGACTGGAGATTAAGGTGTATCATACTCAGAAAACCTCACTGTCTATCCATGAAAATAACACTGGCCAGTTACAAACATAAACAAACTTATCTGAGGTTCCTGGAGCTGTCATGTCCAGTCGCCTGATATCTCAAGTTATGCAGGAATGCACATCCAACAATGTCGGCTCCTATTTGAGAGGTGTCAGCCCAATTTTACCTCTAGAGCACGAAAATTCTTCCCATTATTCACTAACGTTTGTGTTGACCAGTTCAAACATGGCGAGTCTCTTCTGCGCAGGCTCAGAATTTCCCATTTTTTATAACAAAATTTTATTAAATACAGTATGGCCATCTATTTACATATAACTACTGTATTTCGGGAAAATATACACATTATTTTCCACATGCTGAGTATCAGGTGACCATAAGTGTTAAGGTAACCGAGTAATACCGGAGCAAGTTGGACGGCTTCGACCCCTCACCCCCCAGCAAAAGTAATATAAACATGTAATCTGCTGTACGCCAGTAAATAACATCCCTCCCTACTCACTACCCACTGTACGGATATCATACACGCCTGTCACTAGGACATTAATAATCCACTCCCCCAACCTCTTTCTTCTTTGCCTATGTATAATTTTGCTGCCTTCACTCTAAAATTATGGAGATATCTTCAAAAGTTCTATTTCTCCTGTGTACATGATGGGTTATTCTGAAAGATGACAATTCGCAAGTGATAGCATCTCCAGCTATGCTGGAACGAAACCTTTGAAGCTCTCACAACTGATGAACCCTTGCTGGAATGCTTGATATCCTCATTGCCCTGATGAAGTCTCCCAGTTCAGACTGACAGATTTCAACACCTTGCACGAGACCCATCCTGCCTGATGGACTGTGACTGGGAAACACAGGCTTGTACCCACTATGTAACAATCACAGAATAGTGTAGCAGCACAATGCTGATTTATCAATTTTTTAATAAAACTAAAATATACTCTGCTTCATTTGTTTACTGATACATAGGTCACTGTAATACACTGGTCACTGAAGTGCTAAGCGCAAAAAAAATGTAAAGAACCTGCTTCAGGACGACTAGTTCACCATGACTCCTGCAAGACAGTGTACTGGTGGAAGCATCAGTAGGTGTGGGAATATTAACATTAGTGGTACTTATTGTGAGTATATCCTTATTCTGCTTCCATCATATCGAGTAAATGCACATACATTAGATTTAGAAAGGATATAGAAAAGCACTTGCTTGGCAATAAGAGTTGTAGATGAGTGGAACAAACTCCCAAGTAGCGTTGTTGAAGCGAAAACTCTGAATAGTTTTAAAAGTAGGTTGGTTTGGTATATGAGCTAATGTGCGTGGGTGTAAGTTTTACCTGCATATCATGGGCTAGCAGACTTGTTGCATTGCTCCTCTCTTATAGAAACACTTCCCTCATTTTTTAAAACGGGCAGTGTATCCAGAGGAAGTGGCAGAAAAACTAGTTTTCTCCTATACTATCCTAATCTCCTCTGTGACTCTAGACAGAATTTGAAGTAACTAGACTAGTGAATCCATCTCAGCGGATAGCTTCGATGTAAACAGCTAAACCATGCAGTATCGAAATACCGCCTTTACAATGCATGCAACTTCTATGACCTGAACTACTTTTTCCAGTCAAATACCTGTTAATTATTATTTCAGCTTGTGTTATACCTCTACAATGTACATGCCTTGTTGCAGAGATGAAGCCGCAATGGTTCAGTGTGGACAGTCTTCCATACTCCCTTATGTGGCCCGATGACGAGCTTTGGTACCCTATATATCTGCGAGGAGGAAAATTCCGTGGACGTTTTCACTTTCAGGGCCATGACAAAATACTTTCAGAAAAGCTAGAAGAGGTGCAAACATTTGATTGATTTCATGTTGTCGCGCAAATAAAAGGCAGAAGCAATGACTTGGCATCATAGTCTCAAGCAAGCATAAACACTCACCAGCAGCACATATTTGATATCAAACAGCTCACCCAAGATATAGGTGCAAATATTTGCTTGTTTGGGATAAATACACAAATGTTCTGCAGTAAAATATTATCCAACGTAAGATTTAGTATAGTAGTAGTAGTAGTGGTGGTAATAATAACAATAATAATAATAATAAAAATAATAGAAGAGAGAAATAGTTTAAAATACTGACACGATGGAGACACGAATGCAGTATAATACGATCTTTTATTGAGAACGTTTCTCCCACACAATGGGCTTCATCAATGACTTAATGAAGCAGACCTTGTGGACGAAACGTTGTCAACAAAGGCTCGCATTATGCTGCATTTGTGTCTTTCCGATAATATAATTAGGCAAAAGAATTTCATAAAAATGTCGTATATATTTGTATGAATTTAAATTTAACAATTAAATATTCACTAATATAGGGCTGTTAGCCTTTATTGATGCTGACGAAAGGCTCTTTATCCAAGGAATTAGAGCTCTCCCCCTGTTATCCATTCCCCAAATGCTGTCCCCGAAGGATTATAGTGCTTCCCATTATCATATTATTATTATTATTATTATTATTATTGTTGTGTTGAGTTCCTATTAGTGTAAATTAGGTTTGGAACTTATGTCTCACCTTATTATCACTCAGTATTATTCAGTATTCCCGAGTAATTTGTTATACTTAGTGTAAGATATATTGTACCCATATGCATCAGTATTTTTAATATGTACAATATATCAGTGTAAAGTTTGGGACAGTTCAGTATAGGTATTATTGCACAACTAAGTCCAATACAGTGTAAGTATCCCCTTAAGGCTCGTGCAGTACAGAATATCACTGTATAGTTAATACGTTCGGTATAGTATCAGTGAAGAATAAGACATTGTGCAACATTTGGAATCTTCATTGTAAAAAAACTTTTCGCCAAACCTGCGTTTCTTCGTCCGTACGAGAAGAACGGGGGAGGATGAGAGAGTGTTTGAGGTAATGTCCCCAGCCTGGAGTTTTTGGTGTGTTCAGTCCTCATGGATGGAATGGCTGCAAAAGCATATCCCAATGAAGTTTCCCTAGTATTGCAAAAGTGTCTCGTCAATTTTTCGGTTTTCTGAACCATTTACATACATTGTATCAGGTAGCTTAAAAACAGTACAGTATTATCATCAAAATCTGTGTTTTTTTAAAATTTGCTTCCCTTAGTCTAAACAAACGCTTTAAAACTATTTTGTGACTTACATTTTTTTTTTATGTAAACCCCTTTTTTTTTTTTTTAATCAAGAGTGTTCGTTGATATTTGTTTCAATTAACGGTAAAGGTGCAAGATAGGTAAGATATTTTTTTTAAATTTTTAAAGTGATTAAAAATTTTTTTAAACGAAAAAATTTTGGGAAATTTGAAAATAAGAAAGGGGAAAACTGCAAAAAGGCCTATGGCCCATAGAGGCAGGCAAAATCTCCTACATGTTTCCTACTCTTCAAATTTTCGGTATTTTTCCCCTAGGATTTTTTTGACCTAAAAAAAGTTTTTGACACTTTTAGCCCGACCCCTACCCCAAAAAACTTGCCATTACGGTATAAGGGGCCCATGCGCTTGCTTATTTCAAATCTTACTTTACTAATGGTATCATTTATGTCACCATTAAAGACACAGCACAAAAACAGGGCCCACTTTACGGAGTTTCCGCAGGGAAGTGTCCTTGGTCCCTGCTCTTCCTCTTACGCTGTATAGTCCTTGGGGCTTAGCGCTTTTTTTTGATTATAATAAAAAAATCTTCCCTAAATAAATGTTTTCCCAAACGTATCCAACACCTGAAAACCCCTTTCTTTGCTGATACACGATTTATGTATCTCTCACCCTAATCTTGCCCCCCTCAACAGATTGTTAAGAGGAGTGATCAAAATTCGACTTGGTGCACCCAATAAACTTACGCAAACACTGAAAAAACCTACTTATTATGTTTGGTAGCAGGCAGGAGATGCACAAATTAACTTAAGACGACAACATTAATTACCGACAAAATGAGGGCAAATTTTGGGCCATCCCTTTGACAACAACTGTTTTTAGCCCCCATATCCAAAATAACCAAAAAAAGTATCCAAAAGGGTTTGGGATCTCTCCAAGATACGATACTACGTGCCGCAAATCCCCTTTAACCACTGTACCACTCAAAAACTTAAGAACGAAGGAACACTGCAGAAGGCCTCGGGGCCAATGCGAGCAGGCCCAAGTCTCCTACCGGTTTAAAGGGCCATGCACCAACCTGTCAGGTCAGGTACATTGAAAAAGGGGGAACCGGCAACCGACCGGGTGCACAAGTATCGGCCCAACCACACCCCCCCACATCCACTTGTATTTTCAAACCTTTTTTAAAGTACACAACGTTTGGGCCTCTTAACGTATCGGGAGTTTGTTCCACTCATCCCAACTTATTACCAAACCAGTTTTTCCCTATATTTTTGAATCTAAATTTTTTCCCAATTAAAAAAACCATTGCTGCGAGCCCTGTCAAGCTAGTATTTTCAGACACTATTTACCCCCTTTTTTATTTATTCCGTCTTCCTTTTTTAACTCAAATCATATCCCCCCTAATTTACTCTTTTAGGAGTGCAGATTCGGGGCCCCTTGTTATCCTCTGGGGAAAGGTTTCTGATACATGGGATAAACTTTGTCACCCTCCTTTGACTTTTTCCCAGAGAATTTATCCATCCTGTAATACGGTGACCAAAAACTGGCAGCATAATCAAAATGAGGCCTAACAAGGTGTATAGAGTTGAAGAACAACCGAGGATTCTTTTTTTAGTTCTTGATATGAAGCCCAAGGATTCTATAGCTTTTGCAACACTTTTGCTGTTGTTTGGTTTTAGTTACTGTAACCAGAACTCCTAAAATCTTTTTCGCAACGTAATATTAAAATTACATTTTTGTTTATATGTGGATGGTTATTGTCCTGTCCCAAAATTTAGAACTTTGCTTTGTCTTTTAAAATGATTTTGCCACTTCTCGCCACGTCGTCTATTCAATTTTTCCTGGAGTGCTCGAAAGTCCTGTCAGAATGAATTTGACGGCCTATTTTTTGGGGTTCGGCAAAAAATTTCCGAGTCGCTTTTATGCCCTTTATGCGTTTTGTAGATTGTGAACAGCAGGGGGCCCAACCTGACCCCCGTGGAACACCGTCGTAAAAATTTCCCCCCTTGATTTTTCCCCCCTTTTTGCAAACTCTTGCGCCTATTTGTAACCGCCTCTATCCCGGAAAAATTTCTCCTCCTTTCCCTGTCTTTAATTTTCCTCAAAAGTCTTTGATGTGGGACCTGTCAAAAACCCTTTCTGAAGCCCTATACACAAAATCATATTCTTACCGATCACCTCCTCAAATACCTTTGTGAAAAAAGTTAATAAATTCGTAAAGGGAGGAACTCCCCCTTTTTTAAAAAAAAAGCGAGATTTGTTGAAATTTAAATTTTTGCTTTTCAGGTGGCTGAATGCTCGGCAATTATTGATTCCATAAATTTTTCCCATATGGAGGTTAGGTTATTGGTTTGTTCGAAGCTAAGGACCTGTACCCGTTTTGAAAAAGGACACATTTGCCATTTTCCCCCTTTTTTTGGCACCATGCCCGTTTTTGGATTTGTTGAAAAAATTTGCCAAAGGTGTGCTAAAACTCCCTTACATTCCTTTAGAACCCCTTCTACAGTTTATAGGGCCGGGGATTTGTTAGGGTTTTAATTATCTATTTGCTAAAAAGGGCCATGTCACTTGTGCCCCAAACGTGCACAGTTTATTCTCGTCCTGTTCTACTAATTTATCATTACTGGAATATGGGTATCTCCTGTGTAAAAATGAGAGGAAGTATGTTTTAAAAAATTTTCACTTTCCCTTATCACTGTCGTGGTGCCCCGAGGAACTTTTGAGGGGGGCCTTTTTGTCCCTGATCTTACTCTGTATACTTGAAGAACCCTTTTGGGGGTTGTCTTCGTTTTCTTGCAATTTTTACCTCTAATCTTTTTTGCTTTTCAAATTTCCCCTTTTTTTTATTTCTCTTTTTTAACTGAATATTCGTTTTCTTAATTCCCCCTCTCCTCTTTTGATTTGCCTATTACCCTCTTTTTGACCATCGAATTTTTAATCTTTTGTTCATCCATTTGGGATATTTTTTTTTGATTGATTTCCCTTTTGGGAAACAAATTTGACTGAGCGCTAGACTAGGGCCCGGGAAAAAGCTATATCGGAAACCCACACCCCCTACCTGCCTTAGTAGGTCATTCCAGTTCAGCCCACTAAGTAATTTTTCAGTCCCATGAAAACGCCCAAAGGGAAAATAGGGGGGAGAATTTTTTGCATTTTTTGGGGAATTCCATGATTTTTAAAATGAGGATTTGTGATCCTTTCCCCCGTATCATTAACTCAAGATTTTAATTGTGTTTCCCTACGGCAAGAACCAAGTAAAGGGGTTTTTTTCCCCTGTGGCTCTGTCAAAATTTTTTAAAAAACAATCCTGGATGTATAAAAAAAGTCACCTGACTCTAAATTTCTGTAAAATTGCTCCGTAATCTGTTATATTTAAAAAACTCCTTAGCAAACATTTTCGTTTTTTAGCCTTAGAATTTCTTTCCCCATAGAAGTTTACGCTTTCCTATCAAGATTTGGGGGCCCTGTAAATCACCCCAAAATGTTTTTTCGGCCCCGAAAGCTGAACCAAAAACAGATTTTTCCATACCCCCCCCCCCTATGCTTTTTGTGCTTGGGGATCAACTGCGAAAACACACCTAAAAGCCAATAATAACCCAAAAAAAAGCTGCAAAAGAATATCCAAAAACCCATCCCTGGCAACCCCCCCCCCCACTCTTCATGCTAAATTATCCTGTTCGTACATCCACACTTCTACTGTGCAACTTATCTGGACCAAAAATCCAATAAAAATTGACCTAAAACGCTTTCTTGATAGTTGTGAAAACCAAGGGCAAAACCCCGACACAAACATCTTACGACATTCCCGTGCCGAAAAAATCTTTTCAAAAATTCAATGTATGTAAGGCCCCTAAAATCGGAACACCCTACTGGAACTTAGCCCTGCGCAATTCATACCTTCAAAACTCCCATTGAAAAACATCTTTTTCCCCCTGATAACCCCGTAACAAACTACACGTTTTCCCACCTGGTGGTTCACACTTCATCACTCCCCATTTGACCTAAACGGGAAAATATTATCCAATCTTAAAATAATGAATCTGTGAATCCAATATTGAAAAATATGTACTGTGCCCAAAAAAAAAAAAAATTTCACATTGCTAAATCACAAAATAGTATTTGTCATTAGCCAAAATATCAAAAATTTCCCCATTAAATTTTTAATATTTTAAATTTAAATTTAAAATAAATCTGCCCGAAATGCTTGCCATGCTAGGTGTTCTAGGGGTCACTCTGTAAACATTATTTTACTGCATGAAACAACCAATAACCAAAAACTGTAAACTCAGCATTGTAACCTTTAGAGAAAAAACTTTGAATTTGAAATTTAAATTTTAATTTCCATCATGATGATTTAGGGGCACATGCGCAACACTTGGGTTCTTTATTAAAGAAACTTTTTCCCCAGTAGTGGTTCATCAGAAAAAAAGAAGAAGGGTCGGTGTGGGGTTTTACTCACTATTTGTGGTTTCGGGGGTTGGACTTAGCCCCGGGGCCCCGCCTTTCAGATCCTACTAGGTCCTCTTTCCCCCTGCCCAAGGTTTTATATACCTATCTTAAAACATGTATAGTTCCTGCCTCACTAATCGTTGCCACACATTCCTTCCCTGACAACTCTATGAAAAAAGAAATATTCCTAACATTTTTTGACTATCTGGTCTTCAACTTCCCAAATTTGTGGCTCTTGTTTCTGTGTCCATCTCTGGAACACCAGTTTGTCCCCCTTTGTAAATTTCATCGCAGTTTTTTTGTATGCGTTTTCAGTCTCCCCTGTGTGTGTGTGTTGTGTGTGTTTGGGGTTTTGGTGTGTAATTCTGTAATGAGTTGACTGTTTTAGTTGCTTCAAAAAGGGAAATTTAAAGGGCCCTTTTTTGGTCTTGTTTTATCTTATTTTAAAATCTACTTTAAAATTCAAGTTGGGAAGTTAGAGAAAAACCCGTATTTTTCTGCACCCCTTTCACGAGGATGGATTTCTGTCACACTTCTCCGCTCAGTGGTCTGCAAGTCAACTCCGTTCTATATGATGGTCTTATTGTCATACTCCCCCATGGATTTTTTGCAAATCAAAAATCCATTACAAAGTAGGGTTAAAAATAAGGCAATGAAAAAGTTGGTTGGCTAAGAGATTCCTTCGTGGGGGATGGGAAATCACGTATTACCGAAAAAGGGGTTCAGTAACTACGACGGATAAACCCTATACATGAATTAGTTCTGCTTTAAAAATAAAAGACATAATAAAAAATTATATTTTAGAGGGAAAAACGATTTTTTTTTTTTTATAAATAAATTGAGCTCTAACAGGGGGGGGTGGGAAAGAAAATTTGTAAAAAGTTTACAGAGAGAACATACAAAAAAACAAAATTTTTTTTTCTTTTTGTGGTACAAAAAAATGTAGTCTAATGTAAAGAAACACTGGGGCCGTAGCAACCACTTGCAGCAAAGCATTGGGGCAATGCTTTGGGTCTGTGGGCGCGGAACACTTACGGGAAGTGAAAGGCAAGGTTAGGCATCGTGCGGCATACATTTAAACTAGCCCCCACTTAAGTTGTTTACAAGAAAAAAAGAAAATAAATGTGAGTTTTTTGTGCCACGTGGTGGGGAAAGGTTAAGCTTAGCGGGGTGGGGGGTTGGGTTTGGTGCTGTCCCTGGTGGTGACGGCCCCGTAACTTACACTAGCCCTGGAGCCTCACCCCTCTACTATATACTTTTTACCGCCCACCCCACTGAGAAGTGATCAATGCATCACATAACGGTAAGTAACTGGCATGCAGGTGCTATGTGGTGAGGCTGCAGGCCCGTGGGGAGGCAGGAAATAGGGTGTTGTGCTGACAAACTGCGGGGAAAGTAAAGGACCATTTGTTTACAAACTCCCAATACCACTTTCTACCTCATCTTTCCTGGCATTATACCAGTATTTAACCTCCTGACGGAAGGAGGTAACTGCTTATCTTACTTTTATTGTCATTTTCCTGGGCACACACTCTTCTAGTTCACTGCTGTGCACCTTGAGGATTTACGGTGCGCTAGCGTAAAGTACGGTGACCAGACCTCGAACACCAAGATACAACAAGTACACCATAGAACTATACCAGTGCCAACAAGTTCTGCAGCTGTGCATTAACCGTGGAAATCATACTAGAATGCAGCTAGAGTGCTAGGGTACTAGTTCTTACTCTGCCTGAGGGAGCCCTAGTATGGAGTCCTCTTGCAAGCTGCTATCTATACTTGTATTCAGTGTACGTGTATCGTGACTGCGAGTTTCGTAACATTTCATGTAATATTTCCTGTCCAATTTAGGAGGCTTGGTCTGAGACCTGACAGTGGAGGTCGTGAGCTTTGTAACTCTTAACAGATATCAGAACTTAAGATAAGCTGTAGTCAAGGAGACATGATTCTACGGACAGTATTATAAATTTATACAATGGTTCCATTGTGCACATTTCATTTATAGGCACATATTGATAGTGAATTATGTAGATTTTTACCAAGGATAACTCAACCAGAGGAAACTGTGTGGCTTATTTCCATTGGGGGGATCAGCTTACTAAATTAGTACCACAAGGAACTATAACTCAGCTTCCAAACTAAGAAGTAATAACACTAGTAACATTAAATTTAATATTGACATATCAGGCCACCAACTCAGGATCACTAACATTAGTCAGTGAAGTGAATTATCCTACACCATAATTTAAATTTAAATGTAAATTATTTTAGGCTAGTACTTTGATAATTTTTTTAAATTTATAAAAGGGAGAACTTGTCAGTAGGAAAATATTGAGAACCTTCTCTTGAGTGACTGGTGACCTTGGTGATATCACTAGCTTTCAGTACCTCTCTGTATAAAAATAAAATGGGACTTGTTTCTATGTAATGATTGATGTAGCTGAAGGCAATATTAGATTATTAACCATTGAGGATTAATGACACTGAATAAACAAGGCAAGCACTGAATAAACAAGGCAAGCTATGCAATGTTGCTTATTTCTATTGGGCCATTTGATTCTCTTCCACAGGATGTGATCCACAGTTGTCAATTAACTCCTAGGTACAATATCTGTTTCCCGGTGTAGGGAAACTTACTCGCACATCTCTGCTCTCCTGTGAAGCAAATCTGGGTTCTTTTGGTTGCCAGCCAGATGTTCTACTATGTTAGTGTTCTTATATTTTAGTTTATTGGTTTGCTCATGGCATTTTTTTGTGGTAATTTATATGACTGAAAGTGGCACTGAATATATAAAAATAGAGGAGCGGTACATGAGGCCTACTGGCTTGATTCAGTGCTTCTTTATGATGTAGGTAGGTTGTACTTAAAATAACTCATTCTCAGTAGTGCAGTATATATTTGCTTAGCCTTTTAAGCTTCCCTAAGTGCCCACTTTAGTAACATTTCAACTCATACACAATTTTGTTGCTGAACCACACTTTCCTATAACCTTTTCAAATGTAAATTTGTCATACTTAATGTTTTGCTTTGAGTTCTGTCTTGGTAGATATTTCCAACACCTTATTTACATCCTCTTTATCCTTATTTTCCGTTTGCATACTTCAATCATGTACCCTTGAATTCTACATGTGATTCAAAGGCTGCACATCTGATACACCTCATTGCCCCAATGGGTAGGAGCTAATTTAGCATACCATGGAAATAAATCATACTGTTTGACTTTCCAGGATTATTCTCAGACTTTGTTGGGTTATTCTTGGTTAAAGCTAGCTGCATAACTTTTTACTGTTGTAGAAGGACAACAAAATAAAATGGGAAAGAATGTGTAGTAGACTTAATACACAGTGACCAATTGACCAATCAGCAGTTGATTGACTGGCAGCCATTAAGCAACAGGTGCTAAAGCTATTGACACAACAGCCAGGTGGGAGTCTAGGGCTCAGACAACCTATTTTTCTCCTAGATTTATGCAGTGCATCATTTAGGAGATCTCAACTTCGGGTATTCGTTTGGTGCAGCAATATATTAGGTGAGCATTGCAGCCTGGATAACTACCAACCAGTGATCCACTGTCCCCAGGCATGGGATAGCAAGGCTGTCTCATGCCTGGGGGACAGCAAGGCTATTATGGTGTTTGGAAATGTTCAAATTTATTATTATTATTATTTGGAAATGTACTAATTTATTATTTTTTATTACAAGTATTAATGATACATTATTCTTTATCTCAGGAGTTTAAGTGAACATTTTGCACTCTTTTACAATTTTAGATTTTTCATTGTTAAGTGGTAGTATTTGGGGGGCCTGGAGCAGATTACCCCTCAGTGGCCAGAGCTCCTCCAATGGAAATAAGTTAGATAGCCCTCGATGTTGCACTGACTTTCTTGGGTTATCCTGGGTGGCTAACCCTCCGGGGTTAAAAATCCGAATGAAATCTTAACTAGTGTTCATTCATGCTCATTTGTCCTACTGAAATTTATGCAAGTTTGGACAGAAAGGAAAGATGCATGATAGTGAAGACCTTTAATGATGGTGTTGTGTTGCAGTCCCTATATTAAGGTCAGGTGTGCAGAGTAGCTTGCTTTGTGATACACAGAGTGTTTAGTTAAGTGGATCATTAGTTATTTGCACATACTCTTCTATTGGCTGCTAGTTTAGTAGTTATTAACCATTTCCTGGACTAGCATAAGTTGACTAGTAGCCATGTAACAAAGGTTATTAAAAGGTTATTGACATGACAATTTATTAGTTTAGGTTAAGTTGGGTTAGGTAACTTAAGCCTAGAGAAGCCCACAGTTAACCACAAATATGCTAATTGAAAACTACCAGGCACCATACCAGGCAAACTACACTCAGGGCACCATGTTGCTCCTCAAACAAATACTGACTAAATAGCTGTCAGCATTTGGGCAACTGAGCTTTTGTAAAATACTGTGTATCCACATGGAAGATAAATAGGCTGTGGAAGACTCCCTTCAGTGAGAGGGCCACATAGATCAAAATAAGTTGCATTCCATTCTGAAGAATAGTGTAAGGTGTGAGGCCGAAGAGGTCAGGGTGATGGTTGCATTGATTCTGTTCCTATTCACCCTGCAATATATGTACAGTGGTACCTTGACTTACGAGTTTAATTCGTTACGTGACTGAGCTCGTAACTCAATTTGCTTGTATATCAAATCAGTTTTCTTAATTGAAATTAATTGAAATGCCATTAATCCATTCCAGCTTTCAAAAAAACCACCCCAATTTTTTTGTTACAGGCTTTTAAATAAGAAAAATGCATTTATAAATAAGAAATATTGTGCAAAAACATAATGAAAGAGAATGTAAAGAAATAAACTGGTTTTATAAAGTGTATTTACCTTGGAGATCAGACTACTTGGGCTAACTGAAGATGTTGGCGGAGGTGGAGGCCGGAAAAATAGGCACTACCATCACTACTCTACCCACTTCTATCGCTACTACACCCACCACCACCACCACTCCTTCTCTACCCACCACTATCGCTACTCCACCCACTACTATCACTACTCCACCCACCACTGTCACTGCTCCACCCACCATTATCACTACTCCACCCATCACCCCCACATACTCCACCCACCACCCCACTCTTCTCCACCCACCATTATCACTACTCCATCCACCACCCTCACTGCTCCACCCCACCACCATACTCTACTCCACCCACCACCATCTCTACTCCACCCACCATTATCACTTCTCCACCCACCACCCTCACTACTCCACCCACCACCATCTCTACTCCACCCACCATTCTCACTACTCCATCCACCACCCTCACTGCTCCACCCATCATCATCTCTACCCACCACCATCACTACTCCACCCACCACCATCACTACTCCACCCACCACTATCAGTACTCCACCCACCATCACTACTCCACCCACCACTATCAGTACTCCACCAACTGAAGTAACCTCCATGAGGCAGGTAGATATCACTGAGGCCTTCCTCACTAATCCCAGAGTGTAGTGAGGTGCCTCACTACACTCTGGGATTAGTGTGGGAGTTTTATCCTTCCAGTTAAGTCTTGGAAGGACATGTGGGATGGGATGAAGTACCTGACATTCTTCTAGGTACAGAGTTGGATTTGACTTCAGATACACCGCCAGCTAGTGGCGGCGTATCTGAAGCTCGCTCGTAACTCGGATTTTGGCTTGCAACTCAAAGCAAAAAATCGACTGAGCAACGGCTCATAGCTCGAAAAACTCATAAGTTGGGGCACTCGTAAGTCAAGGTACCACTGTACTGTACATAACATAAGAAAGGATGAACACTGCAACAGGCCTACTGACCCATGCGGAGCAGGTCCATGGTTCCCCCTTCCCCCTGGATTAGCCCAATGACCCCCTCCCCTGGATTAGCCCAATGACCCACCCAGTCTGGTCACCTCCACTCAAGGATGGAGCACGGCACCAGACCCAGCAGCACAAGCTAGTCAGGTCCAGCTCACACCCACTCATGTATTTATCTAACCTATTTTTAAAACTACACAACGTTTTAGCCTGAATAACTGTACTCGGGAGTTTGTTTCACTCATCCACGACTCTATTACCAAACCAGTGCTTTCCTATATCCTTCATGAATCTGAATTTTTCCAACTTGAAACCATTGCTGCGAGTCCTGTCTTGGCTGGAAATTTTCAGCATGCTATTTACATCCCCTTTATTTATTCCTGTTTTCCATTTATACACCTCGATCATATCACCCCTAATTCTACGCCTTTCGAGAGTGCAGATTCAGGGCCCTCAGTCTATCCTCATATGGAAGATTTCTGA